TCCTATCATTCACACGGAGGTCGGAAGAGAAGCTTCAGAACTATTTTTTGTCGTTTTGACCTTTTTTTTTTTTTTTTTTTTTTCTATAGAACGTTTTGTTGGTTTTTTTGAACAGTATTTGAAATTGCGGACGTTTTGTTGGTTTAGCTAAACCTTATCGTTAAAGTGAGAAAAATCTCGCTGACGTCCAAGATAATTTAAGTGGAGAAGTGATGGATACGGATTGCAGCGGTCCCGCGAGGGCAGGACCTCTCCCCATCTCTGTTCTACAATTGACGGATACGAAGATCTTTGTGGAAATTTTTAACAGAGTTAGCAATGCGCTCTATGCTCATTACTGTAGAAAGAGAGGAGTTTCCGCGAGTATGGGAATCTCTACAAAAGTATACAATTTTTTTTTGTTTTTATTTGGTTATACACTAAAGGTGAATCATGTAGGTTAACTCTTGAACTTGTCAAGTAATATCAAATAAGTCCTTCAACTTCAATTAGACACATCTTGTGTTTTATATTTTTTGAAAGTGTCAAATAAGTGCTTACTATAACCTAGGCGTTTGAAACTAATGGAGATATGCATTTGAGTGGGATCTACTAATTAAAGTGATATGGTGCATTGCTGGACTATTTTTAATAAGCTAATTTACTTTGATGATTAACACCAGTTTCATTCTTAAAATCAACAATATGAGTAAATGTAGTCTACAAATGTATGTTTGGATCTTTAAAATCAACAACATTAGTAAATGTAATCTTCCACTTAATTTTAGATTTATGATGGCAAGACTACATTTACTGATGTTATTCATTTTAAGGATCAAATAAGTGCTAATCGTCAAAGTAGATGGCTAGTTTATGAAAAGTAGTCCAACAATGCGCCATTTACTCATGTTGATTTTAAGAATTAAACAGGTGCTAATCGTCAAAGTGAATGGCTAGTTCATCCCAAATAGTTCAGCAATGTGCCATGTTAGCTTCAAATAGCTTGATGACAGTAAGGGCTTTTTTGATATATTCAAAAAGTATAAGGTGCGGGATGTATCTGATTTGGGTAAAGGGACTTCTTTGACACCACTTAACAAGCTTGAGGGTTAATTTGCATGATTTGCCTATAAAAAATACTTTGATTCATTTAATTCGTAGCCCATTAGAAAAAAGTCTAAAAGTATTTTAGAAAAACTAGTATTTCAAAGTATTTTTTTTCTAGAAAATAAATCAAATTAGATAAAACAAAGTAATCTTTGCCTAACAAATAAATAAATAAAATAAGGTAAATGCAAATTAAGAGAAACTCATTAAATAAAAAGGTGAAGTCAGAGAAGAACTAAGGTAGTAGAGAGGAGAGACGTGAGAGTTAAAGTGTTTGTGGTTAGAATTTATGAATTTGAGAATTGAAGTATTTGAGTTTATTATAATTTATAAAAATATAATTTATAATTTTTTATTAATTTACAATTCTTCATGGGGATCCACAAGGCAAGGAAAATTCCCTTTAGAATTTTGCGGGAGAAAAATCACCCCCAGCCCTACCTTGCTGGGAAGAATGTTTTGAAAATTTTCATCTTTGTGAAGGGATTCTCATGAAACTTTGTAGGTCTTGGGGAAAATTGCCATTTTTAATGATGGAGGACAAAAGTTTGACACTAAATTTAAAGTTAATAACATGGTATATATTTTTATATATTATTAAATGAGTTGATATATATAATATAATGAGTTTAAATAAAGTTAAAAAAATAATTATTAATAAATAATATAAGATTTATCTTTTAATATTTTAAATAAAATAATTTATAACAAATCAATTATTTTAAATTTTAATCCTTTAAAATTTATCCTCTTATTATTATTCATTTAACTTTAGTAGTACTCTATCCATTCATCTACCTTTTTTTTTTTCCTTTAACAAAGGGAATTTTAAAACACACATGTTAAAG